GAAGTTAATAAGCCTAAATTAATTAAAGGATGCAGGTTATAGTTTTAAGATATATAAGTTCTGGATATTTAATTACAGTGTGGTATGAGAGCTGGTAATAACACATTGCTTGCTTGAAGTGGACTAGAAGAAGAGTAGTTTTATACCATACACACGTGTGGTGATTAGATATGGTGAGAGTGGTAGTACTGGGTTTAATTGTAGAAACACAATGTGTGTTATGTGTGCATGAGCATAATATTGCAGTCCTTGAATATATGCTAATTTATCAATTATGCCTTCAAAAGCTTGACAGATTCCTCTAATAAACTAACTTTAACCACTTTAAATTGAAGATTTTCCTCTATGCTGTAGCTTTATTTTAGTTTCTATAAAATTTTAAAGAATTATGTGTATAAATGTTTGCCTGCATGCATGTATATCTGTCATGTGCTTGTAGTAATCAGTAGGCCAGAAGAGGGCATCAGATCTTCCTGTAGCAGGAATTACAGGTTATTGGCATGTTGGTGTTGGGAACTGAACTTGGGTCCTCTGCAAGAGCAACAAGTGCTCCTAGGAGCTGAGCTACCTGTCCAACACTGTTTAGGTTTGAGAACTTTTTCCTGACATTCCCATCCTTTAATCAACATAATGCTTGATGCACGCTATAGGCTCAATAATTTCTGGGTGAATAGTTGAATTAACTGATAGCTTAGAGCATCCTGTTTTTACATTATGTGCTCTTTAAAATCTATACATATACTTCATTTTCCTTACCAGGGTTAAAATTTGTATATTACTTACTTTACCAACTTGTGTAGACCTGTAAGGCTTTCTCTTTTTTTCTTATTCCCATCTGTGAGTTTCTTCAGATGGAAGCATTTAATGTCTCCTAGGCTTGGAAATTCTGTGTGTTTTTTCTCTGTTACATTTTAAAAAGACATAAAGTTTGTGTTAGTCCTTGAGGAGCTCAATTCTGTATACCTGTCTATCCAGGAACACCCTCACTTGACCTTGATACTGAATAAATATTTTGAACTGGTTTGGGGTTATGATAAACAGAAAATCTATGACCCATAGTCTCATCATTTAAAGTAACCACAAATACCCATAGTAGACTTTAATTTAGAAGAGTGATAGCCATTTATCCAGGAGTGTATTTGGCACATTATGTATATAATGTGCAATATCATTTGTGAACAATGATCTTGTCTTCTCAAATGCCCCCTGTATACACTGTCATACTATATTAATTTTACTATGCTTACACATCCTGTACTTCCTTGTACTGTACTCATTAAGGATTCCTGTACTGGTACTCAGTAAGGATTCTGTCGTTATCTTAGGTAGGGATGACAAAGCATGTGTTCAAAAGCCCAAACGTTTGTACTTTAAAAAGTCTCAATGTCCTTACAGCATTGAAGTTTTTCAGCTTATAGTAACATATACTTAGGCACCACCAAAGCAAAGGAAATATTTTTAAAATGTAACCTTCTTTGTAGTGATTTATATACACTGTTTTCCACCTATACTGACAACGTCATTCTAAATAAAGAATTATGCACAGGTGACTTTAGAGGAACTTATGTAATATGTGTTCTAATTACACTGCCTCACACAGAGTCTTCCGTGGCTCTTTCTGAACATTTATTTATGCCTTTTGTGAGTATTTCTCACAGGGGCTGTGCGTTTTTTCTATTCATTATGTTCTTTATGTGATTTACATCTTTATGTGTTCTACAATGTATTTTACGTTGGTGGATGCTGCTATAAACCAGGGATATGAAAATCACCAAGATCATCACAGGACAAAAACTACATTTTATACTTGATAAAATTTCAGGGATGATCCATTGTATTTTCTGGTATTATTTACTGCTTTCCATATACATTCCATTTCTTACATCCATGAGGTGTCTAGATGAGATTGGCATGTTTAGGGTTGCATGGCTGCAGGCTGTGTTCCATTTCTGATGTTCTTGTGCTATTTTGTAAGAAGGTTGGCAGAAGTATCATTGTCTCCATTTTCACAAATGGAAAAACAAATACCAAAAGAATGGGTGACTCTTATCTTTCAGTTGTAATGTCAGAGTCAAAACTAGCACCCAGACCAGAAATAAGGGAGAAAACATGGGAGGCCAAGAAAATCACAAATTGTCTTTTCTAGGGTAATTAATGAGCATGAGCAGTGGGCTGACAGCTGCTTTAGCTGTTCTCCCTATAATTTGTAAAGAAGTTAATCTCCAAAAAAGCCTGCATGGGGTAGAATACAGCAGTTGCTTTTATAAGTGAAGAGACTAAAAATATAGTAGCAGAAGCCATTTATTAACCCCAGCAGTAATGTCCCGGGCAAGCAAAGTGTTTGTAATGAGTAAGTTTAGATTTCACCAATCTCTTTATCTGGCACTAAGTATCTACTTGGTTAACACAGGGCTAGTAATGATGAACCTTCTGCCAAAGCTGAGATGCTTAGTTAGGTGCTATATAGAAGTACTTTATATAGGTGGTGTGTTATATAGATTCAGATTCCATTCTTGGATAACAAATCAAACCATTCCTGAACAGGAAAAAACTTAACATTGTCAGGATGAAGGCTCACTAACAGGCTATAAAAGACACATGATACCCATTTTGTTCTGGCCCTTGCCTAAAGCTACTTAGTGTTTTGATAATAATCACATTTATCCAATTTTTATGGATTTTGTAAAAGATACTGCATATGACACACATGAACTAGTATACATATCCATGCCCCTTGATAGCTTTTTAAAAGAAAATTTGTGGGAGTAATAATGCGTTGGTAAACAAAACAAAACAAGACAGTATAGAGAACTCCTTCTTCTAGTTTTCTCCATTGTTAATATTTTAAAATTTCTCTGAACAAAAAAATTATATTGGTGCATCACTACTAATGGCCTTTATTTGGATTTACTGGGCTTGCATAAATGCTTTTATTCTGTTTTAGGATCCAGTGCAGGGATTGGCATCAAATATAATTGTCATGTTTCCCGTTCTGCTCTAGCCTATGACAATTTGTCAACAATTTTCCTTATTTTACAAACCTTGATAGTCTTGCTGAATAGTGTCCATGTGCAATGTTTCCTGAGCTGCTCTTACTCACTTTGTTTCTCATTATTAGACAAAGGTTATAGGTCTTAGAGAGTATCCCAGAAGCGATTCTTCTTTCGTGTGTGTCATAATGTATCCGTGTGACATTACTGATATTATCAGCCTTCATCACTTGGTTAAGGTAGTGCTTGGCAATTTCTTTACTGCACCCTAGGCAGTTTTAACCACTTGTTGTTTATGTTGTTTCTTCTCTGTCTGTGGTACTCTCCAATGAGAATTAGTTCAAATTGTCATATTCACAGAAACATCCTTGCTGACCACTCACAATAAAGCACTTTCATACTTCAGTTGCTATTTGCATTTTACATCTTGTTTCATTCATATTTTCATTGCTTGAAACTGACTTGTTTCTGTGTTTGCCTAGTTTATTATTTGTCAATAACTTTCCTGCCCCCCAACATGAACTTCAGGAGATCAAGGGTCTTTTGGGATTTCTCATAACTGTATTTGCAGATTCTAACAGAAGGACTAGTATATGCTAGGTGCTTAGCAACTATTTGTTAGATAAATATCAAAAATATAGGACTGGTTTATTGGCATTTCTGAAATAGAAAAAGTAGTTGGTGAAAAATTTAGTGTTTTTAATTCACTCTGTTTTAAGGAAAAGTTAAAAGCAAATATTACTATCTATGGAAAATAGTTTAGCAGAATAATAGTAATCCAAGCTGCCTGATAATGTACTTAATAATGTGTCAGAGTTTTTAGTGACTTATACAGGTATGATGATTAGCTTTAATTTTACATCGACATGCTCCAGACTCACCTGGACAGGGAGCCTTAATGAGTATTTTATCCTAGCAGCAAGAATCAAATCTATTACAACATATATGGCTGACCAGTGACACCTTTCTACCACTGCAACCTTTACCGATGAACTGCCTCCAGTTTCCTATTGTAGAACTTCAGAATTTGAGGGCTGTAGAGAGTCCTGATGCCCTTGATTAATTCCAGCTGACTGCTTAGTGCTGCCATCTTTTGATTTATGGTGCCCCATGTGCCCCAAGGGAGCATCCACATAATATAACTCCCTTCTATGACCAATAGTAAGATTTTTTCCCTTTAATTTTTCTTCTCAGGATTTAAAATCTCCAAGCCAAAGGGATGAAATTGCAGGGGCTCGGGCCACCTTGAAGGAGAACTCTCCGCTCTTGCATTCGATTTGTTCAGCTTGTTTAGAACATTCCGACGTTGCTTCACTCAAAGCCAGTAAGGACACAGTCTGTGAAGAGATTCAGAACGCTCTTGATGTCATTTCAAATGCTTCCCAAGGCATCCAGAATGTGCCAGTGCCTTCTGAGCCTCAGGCAGCAACCCTGGGAGGTGCTCTTGATGAGCTAGAGGTAAGTTGCAAGAGCCAAAATGTGACTTAACATCTCAGTACAAGTAAACAGAAGCAGACTTCCGGCTCATATGTGGGAGTTTGGAGAACTGACTTTTATCATGCTCCAGTCAGCCTCAGTGACCTTCTTGGGTATTCTAGTGAATTGATTTAACAGTAAGATTTCCTACTTAGCACACTTAGCATTCCCCTGCTAAAGAAGCCTTTAAATTGGAATTGTCTGAGATTCAAGTGAAGATTACATTTTACATAGATCAGCTTCTAAAGTGGAGGATTTATTTACTGTACAATATTTATTATCAGCAATGTTCTGTGTTGTCGGGAAATAGATCTAGCCACTGCCTATGACAAGGGCTTATGTTTTAGCAAGAGCATGGAGGAAAAGAGCAGACTTGCTATTATAAATAACCAAATTGCATATCATAGTACAAAGGGGCGAGGTAGCCTCAAAGATTTGAGGCATTTAAATCAGGAGCAGGTAGAGATCTAGAACATAGGTTCAACACCACTTCCTGTGTTTGTGACATCATAGAAGCCAGGAACCTGGGTGGAGTCAGCAGGGGGAGGAAGTTCATGGCCCAGGGTAAAGAGCCAATGGGACCAGGCTATAGAAGGCTGTGCTGGTTTTTCCTCTGAGTAACCAGGACTCTATAAGGCTTTAACACACTGAGACTCATGTCTTAAAGGAATGATGTTAGCACCACATGAGCAGAGACTTAATGTAAATAAGGTGAGAACCTGGGAACCAGGCGGGAGGTTACGGTAGGAACCTGATCTCACCTTATACCTTATGGGTACCACCCAACTCTATCACATGTGGTCATGACAACCGCAGCAAGGCTCAATTTTGTAAGTAGTAATCAGCTGGAAAATGATAGAAAGGATGGATGGGACATGAGCAAAGGGAAGATATCGCACACTGAGTCCTCTAACAACACAGTGGATTTCATGATCTGAGTTATTAGGAACTAATGTCTAGGTAGTGAAGAGACCGGATGAAGTCTTCCAGGGAGACAGACCTACAAAGTTCAGGTCAATTGACAATTGATACTTACAGAGCATTGATTTTCAGGGTGTGCCTTACTAGGTTGAAACATACAGGCCTTTCTACATCTTTCAGTTGTTGAACATAGGTCACCTGCCTGGTGAAGATCATGAACTCTGGAGTCAGGAGGGTTGATCTGTGTAGTGGAGCTAGGCTTGTCCAGAATTGGGCAAAGCCTGGTCATAAGGTAAGAAACCCAATTTTGAACAAGTTGAGGGATTTATCAGGACTTCAAGTATGACGGCAATGAGTGCTGGCTATCCTAGTCTAACAGGGAGCTCCTTGGTGTGGTAGTTAATGATAAATATTCTAGAGCCTTCATTCCTGGGTTTATATTCCAGCTGTGACACTTGCTATGTTTGTGACCTTGGGAATCATATTTATGGACCTCTGTTGTTCTGCTGCAAGTGTTCAATAACACCACAGTGTTATTAGGTTAAATGAATTCATAATACAGGTGTGGTTGTTCAGAGCAATGCATAGTAAATATTCAATCTTAATGTCATTATGGAGACTATTTGGAAGCAGATATTCCATAATGAAACATATATTTATAATTAAAATTACTTAAGTATTACCAACAACTAAAAAAATCAACACACTTATATAATGCCTATATTGTTCTTATCAACTTCATAGTAAATTCATTAGGTAATTGTTTTATGTTTAAAATTGCTTGCTTTCCCTTTATGTGTCTTTAAACAGCATCTTCATTTCTAATCCAATATTATTAGCTGTATTATTGTATATTATTAGATCCATGTGAAGATACATAAAATATCTAGTTATATGCAGGTTTTAGGAACTCTGTCTGATAAGGTAAAAAAAAAAAGAATGGAAATTAATCATCTCCAATCATTCAGTGTTCACTCTCTGTAGTGAACACAATATCCTCTCATGTGTTATATGCATATCTTGATGTCTTTTAAGATTGAAAATTTTATTTTCTAAGACAAGTCACAGATATTAGAAGATAGCAGCTAGATACCAGTAAAGTGTTAGATTCCGAATAAATAAAATATAAAACTTGGGGACCAAAATGCATGGGAAACTCAATTGCAGTTTGAAAAGCTTTGGGGAGTTGATCAATTATTTTACACCAGGTAGTATTGGAAGTGGTGTGACCTCAGATAAACACATGCATGTCCATTAACTGGATGAGGGAGCAATAGGAAGTTCTAGTCATGTGTATCTTGTCCTTGCCCCTTCCAAGCACTGTCCTGTCTAAAATATATCCACATTTGTTTGAAACCTTAACCTTGTCACTCTGGCCACCTAATATTCTCAATAATACTGTTAGCCTTCCCAATGTAGTCTATAAGTCACGTACCTGCTCTTAGAGGCATTTTATCTTAGAGGTTGTGGTCTGAGGAGTCATTGCCTTTCTCAAGTGAACCAGCTGTTTGTTGTCTTTGATTTCTGTTCTTGTCTGCCAGTTCTTGCTGTTTTCACCCCTTGGAGACCAGACTGTTTCAACTAATGAACTTTGATGCTGAATAGAGTTGTAGGCCTTCAACATGGATTGGGGAGTTTTAAGACTTCATGGGTTTCCTATGCTGGCACCCCACACCAGTACTTGTGTTTCTAATGTGACCTAGAATGTTATTAGACTGTGTGTAGTTTATAATATGACCTAGAATATGACAAGGCTGTGCATGGTTTATAATATGACCTAGACCATGTGTGCTTTTCTGCTTAGGAGGGCTGGTTTCTTGACTTCCTTCAAAAATAAAGAATAATGCAAAAAAAAAAAATGTTGAACAAGGACCTGGTTTCCCTCACAACACAGTAGCTTGACCCATCTTCTTTGATGCGCACCTCTTCATAGAGGTCAGCTCTGAAGATGGCAAGCTTACCCACTGTAGACAACTGTAGACACATGATAACTTGGTCTTATTGCACAAGTACTAGGCCTGCCATGTGGGCATGCCTTACTATGCTGTAGCAGTGGGTATAGAAAATCACTCATCCAGTGTAGCTAGGAAGTGGGCTTTCAGAAAGATACTCACAGTTGAATTTACACACACACACACACACACACACACACACACACACACACACACCATTTTATATAGACAATGAAAAGGTAGTTAGCCCTCTTTGTGTCTATTTTCCTTTCAGATAGTGGCATCCAAAAGAAAGCTGTTGTATTCTACTCTCTACTTTGCTCCCTTGTTAAAATAAAAATGGGGATTTTTTTGTTTTTCTCTAACTAAATCAAACTTTAAAATAAAAATTAAAATAGTTCTAGATCACTAAAGCATTTTAAGATTTGGTCATATGTATTTAAATTTTAAGCATGTATTTATTTAGATGTGCAGGGGCATACATGTATATATGCATGCATAGAGGCCAGAAGAGAGCATCAGGTATCCTTCTCCAACATTCTTCATCTATTCTTTTGAGGCAGGAGCTGTCTCTGAAGCTGGAACTCTTATTTTCTTAGCTAGACTTGAAATAAGCATAATTTATCCTCTTGTCTCTGCTCCCATTGGAGTTGGGGTTACCGGTATATGTTAGATGCTTGGCTTGTTAAGTAGGTGCTGGGATCTGAACTCTGGTCCTCATGTTAGAACAGCAAATGCTTTTAACTGCTGAGCCATTTCTCCAGCCCCTCCAGCTAAACATTTTACATGAATGATTTGCTCGATTATTTCAGCATCACCATTGAAAATTTTGTATTTGCTTTACAGAAAAAAAAAAATCGAGACCTAAGCTGTATGTATTTGCTGATCAGGAAACTAGTGGGTAGGGGTATAGCCTTTCTGATTCCAAGAAGAATTTATAGGTGTACTTGTACTGAGTTTCCCAAGCTAGAACTTAATGTTCTCTTCAAGATTCAGCATAATATATACTAAGGTTCTTAATATATATGAATCATCAGAAAAGTTATAAATGTAACCAAGTCTTTCTGGTGGATTAAACACTGTCCATGGGTCATTAAGTAGAAATAGTCTCTGTTTGGGAAGTGCTTCTTGTAATAGGGTGGAACTTTCCAGAGGAGTGGGCAGATGGAATTGTATAGTACAGTTTTCCAAAGTGTTAAACTGATTTGTGTCCAGAGATGTTCCCACAAAAGACCTCATTTATCCCCAAAATTTTCCAAATTGATCTTCCACTGAGACATCTTTAGTTTCTCAATTCAGTTAGAGGTAGGTGCTATAGACAAGAAATAGCAGAGGTTGGAGAGAGCCTGGAGAAAGGTCTTTTCAAGAATAGAAGACCTCTTACTTCTGAACAGGCACAAGACCTATACTTTCTTGAGAACCAAATTCTGTCAACAACTGAAATTTACCTTTAGTCAAAGATAGGACTTTAGAACAAAATGCCTGAAAAAAATATATCCAAGTTACAAACAATTGCCAAAGCGGTCTGAACCAGATAAAACAAAATTTACTGAACATTTAACCTTTTGACAATAATTTTGTGAGTTAAATGGTTGCACTTTATATTATTTATAGGAAGCTATATTAGTAGAGGATCTGAAATAACCTTTGCTCTATTTTGCTCCTGCAAATATACTACTATGAAATAAATGGATGTAGTAAATACCCTGCTGGGAGCCAGACTCATTAAATGCTTATAGTGTGAAAATGTATCAGAACACTTACTCAACAGCCACTATGTGAAAACGTCTGATAACTCTTTTATTCTGGACCATGGGATTTATTGGTGAAGAAGATAGAAGCTGAATTAGAACACAGTACAATCTAAATTGATTGATTAATTGGAAAGGTTAGTGTAAATTATAGACTGTTGCTCTGCATTTGTGACTGAGAGTTGAAAAGTGTCACCTTGTAGATGAATAGAATTTTGAAAATGCCATTAAGCAAGAAACTTTGCTTGTGAAAATTGCATTGAAAACTTGAAGTCCATAAACATATATTTCCCTTGTGTAGAAGGAAAAAGCAACCATTATACCAGAAGTTATTGCATCTGTTTTTTAAGGTGATGATAATGAAGGATTTATGTGTATTTATTTTTTAAGAGATGCTATATTCTTTCCTTATATATTCATTTATGTCATTTTACAGTTCTTATTGATAATTTTGTATATGAATATAATGTGTATTGAACAAATCTATTTCCATTCTTTAACCTCTAATTAATGCCCTGTTCCCTGGACCACATTTCCTTTCCAATTTCATGTGCTCTGTTTTTAAAGCCGCCAAGTCCCATAGTTCTTCCTCTATATACCTGGGTGTACATAGAGGTGTAGCAGAGCATGGGTAACTTCTGAGACACCACATCTCTGTAGGAAATAACATTCCATCTTCCAGTGGCCATCAACTGACAATAGCCCTATTCATGCTTGGATTTTGGCTGGCTTGATCTTGTGTAAGCAATCACAGCTGCTGTGAGATCATGTGTGTGGTGTGCCAATCATGTATACCAGACGGTGTTTTGTTGCAGACATCCATTGGCTCTTACAATCTCTGTGCCTCCTCTTCCACAATGTCCCTGAGCTTTGGGGACAGAGGGAATGGAATAAAGGTGTCCCATTTAGAAGTAAGAATGGTTTCTTGTTTTGGGCATGTTGACCAGTTGCAGCTCTCTGTATTAATTACCCTTTATTGCAAGAGAAGCTTCTTCGATGAATTTGAAAGATGCAGTAATCTATGGGTATAATAAGAACATGGGGGAAGTTTATTACTATGTCCATTTTGTAGAATATTATTATTAGA